CACACAGACGGACCCCGTACTAGTTGGGCCAGTGAGGTCATGGTCCCTCAAATGGTCCCTGTGCTGTATCGCTTGCTGCGGGGGAGGAGGGGAAGTTCCACATCCAAGGTCCAGAAGGGACCACTGGGCAGGTGTCCTGCTGGCTCAGAGCGCCCAGCCGCACAGAGGAGGCGGGTTTCCCAGCGCCAAGTGTTAAACCACCCAGCAGCTGGGCCCTCGGCAAGATGTCACAGAAAAGCGAGAATGGCCTTCCTGAACACATCACCTGACCAAGGCACTCCCAGCCCCTGCTGCCCCAAGTTGGAAAAGGCAAGGGGCCTGCTCTGTGACCCGAGGGTGACACTCAGGGTGCACTAGCACTGGGCCCTGCCCTGCTCTTTCTTCCCACCCCAGAGCCCGGGGGACACACCCAGGAGGGCAGCCCAGAGATGGAGGGCCCCAAGACCCCGGCTACTGCTGCCTCCCTTGGGGCCAGGCTGAGTGGGTGGTGCTCAGGGGCCTCAGGCTGCTGGCAAAATCCTTCTGGCAAATTCTCATCTTTAAGAACTGAAACCTTTCTGTGTTTTGTTTCCGTCAGAACTTCTGAGAGGGAGGGATTTCCTGCCCTCTCCCTGCCTCGGAGGCAAGTTCCTCAAGGGTTTCAAGGCCCCCCTTGTGTGTCTCAAGGCTCCCCTCCCCAGTGTGCCTCCCTTGAGGACTTCCCACGTCCCTCAGGGCCCTGTGACGTGGAACACCCCAAGAGATGCCAGCACACAGGAAAGATGGCCATTTCCCTGTGGGCGTCTTCTCTACCCGCCTTCCCCCCAACCCCCCAGCATCTCTAGAACTCTTACTCCCAACTGCTGGATGGGAGGGGGTGCCTGGGGCTTTCTCCTGCCAGCCTGCAAAGTCCCAGGAGAGCTCCCAGCACCCCTCCCCCAGCAGAGGATCCCAGCAGGGCCCAGGAGAGGGGTTCCAGAGCAGCTGTGCTCCAGCTGTGCAGCCCGTCCCATAGCTGCACAGGGTGGGGGTGCGGGTCCTATTCTGATGCTTCCCATAATCCTGTGCTACAGCCCTAGGGTGGTCTGGGCTCAGAAGGCACCCTGTAAACCTCAGACAAGGCCCAGCTCCTCCCCGGGAGCCCCAGAGGAGAGGGGGCAGGGCCCCACAACTTCTCAGTGGCAAGAAGTCCACCCCCCCCCAACTCAGAGCCCTCAGAGGGTCCAGTGGCGCCCTCCACCCGAGCCCCACCTGGAAGCCACCCATCCACGATCTCAGATGCTTGGCCAGCCTGCCCACCCACCCACCCAAGGCCACCACCGCACCTGGGCAGGTCCCTCGGCAACCAAAAGGGGGACAGTAGCAAGAAGGGAGAGGTGCCCCTAGAACGAACACTTCCAGCTCTGCCTGTGAAGAAGCCCCCTGGAGACGCCTGTCCACTCTGGAAGTCTCTCAGCAAAGCCCAGGCCTCCCCAGGAAAGGCAGCTCCCAGTGGACCAAGTCTGACAATCCTGCACCAATCCCAGACACCGTGGGGGACGTGGGGACCGGCCTGTCAACCTGTCAGCTCCCAGACTCCGAGGTATCCATTGGGATCCACCAGGTCCCAGAATTCACCCAAAACAGCCAGGTGTGTGCAGGTAAGCGGGGCACAGTGCGCGCATTTCCCGCTGGCGATTCCAGTCCAAAGAAAGAAAGTGCGAGAGGCCGCATGCCCTCTAAGAAAGGAGCCACTCCGGCTACGGGGAGCGCCCAGGGGGCGGCACCGACAGGGAGAGGGCTGGCCGCCACCTGGGTACGGAGCGCACCGGCCCCGCCTGGTGGGCAGCGTGAGGGGCAGCCGGGCAGGGGCCGAGAGGTCCCAGCAGCCTCAGGTCGGGCTGTGCAGACCACGCCCAGGAGCCCGGCATCAGACCCGAGAGGACCTTTAAATAAGCAAATGTCACAAATCAAGACTTCTGGGGCCTGGAGCAGAGGCGACTCCTAGGAAAGGCTCCTGGGAACAGCTCCAGCGCAGCGAGGGGGTGGGCTGGGGGCCAGGGCAAGGCTGAGGGGCGCCCCACCTGAACTTCCCACAGCCAACAGCCTGAGGCCAGTCTCAAGGCCACAGCCTGTCCCTCCACAGCTGTGAAGGCCCCCCTCCCTTTGCACGCTGCCCACGCATCACCACCACCCAGCACCTCACTGAAGGCCACGATCAGCACACACGGGGGGGACTAGAGAGACTGGGGAGGTGGGTCCCAGCCCCAGGCCCCTTGCAGGGGAGCCCGCGACAGGGAGGGGGCAGTGGGCACCCACCAGGCCTGGCCCACCCCGGACCAACCCCCAGGACACCCTTCTCCAGGGAGAACCCGGCCCGGAGGAAGGGTGAGGAGAGACGTCGGGGGGCCAGGGTGAACCAGCAGACTCCCAGAAGCCCCCTAACCCTAGCGCCGGGGGGGCGGGCAGCAGCTGGAGACTGCACCCTAGTCAGATTTGTCTGGAAGCACATTACAACACTTCCCACATCTGTTTCCACTTCCCGACCCAGAGAAGCTTCACGGAGCAGCGCCCGGACATGTGAGTATGTACCCTGAGTGCTGGGAGGGCCCCCCCGGGGCTGGCAGGCCGCCCTGCCACATAGCAGTAAGGCAGGCGGGGATGGGGCCGCTGGGAGCCTGCCGGGCCCGATCTGGGTCTCCGGGGTGAGAGAAGGGGTGTCCGGCCCCCAGCCCCCGCCGAGAACGACCATCCCGTGGCCTCCCAGACACAGCAGCCCTGTGCCCTCGGCCCCTGTGTCCAGAGCCAGCCAGGAGAGGGGCACAGGAGGGTGGGGAGTGAGCGCTGGCCACCCGACCCCAGACCCGCCTCCGGCCACTCCAGCCTCCACCTTAGCGGGAGCCTGGCTCTGTCCCCTCCCCCCAGTAGCCCTCCACGCTCACAGGGACAGCAGGCCACGGCCAGGCACTCCATCAAGCCTACTCCCCACAGGAAAAGAACGTGCTGAGGAAATGAGGGTCAGGACCCGGCTTTTGGCTACCCCTCCCCCCAACCCCGCCACGGCCCAACCCCCTACGCTCCCTAAGGCTGGGTGGGGGGGGAAACCTGGGCCCGGGAACCCCAGCCCACCGGCCCCAGAGCAGTCTCACGCCGCCCCTGCCCTCACCAGGCCTCCCCTGACACCCAGCAAGCACCCAAATCGCCCCCGAGGTTGGTCCCCATCACTGCGGCTTCTGCAGAGAGGGCGCTCCACAGTATCGGGGCCCAGGGGCTCCTCCCCAGGTGCCCAGAGGCGCCCCGGGAACGCGGCTTCAGCGTCCCAGGGCCCAGCCTCAGCAGGGGGAGCCAGGTCCTTGGGACTCCGCCTTTCCCTCCCCCAGGAGCTGCACACTCAGCAGGACGGAGACGCCCTAAGAGCTGCCACTGAGCACACACAGACCCCAGAGGGTCTCTCAGTCCCTGAGTACAGGGACCCCAGCCCCTGTCCTGGCGGGCGCGCCCAGCAAGTGGGTGGGCCGGCCGCTCCCGGAGCCGCAGGGCGCTTACCCAAACAGGTCCTGCCGTCCGCGTGGAGCCGGAATCCGGGCTTGCACTCACAGACGTAGGAGCCTGGCGTGTTCACACAGCTGTGCTGGCAGCCGCCATTGTGCACCTGGCACTCATCCACATCTGCGCAGGGACACGAGGCCAAGGGTTAACAGCCAGCAGCCACCTGGGGTCGGGGCCCCTCACTGAGGAGACTCGGTGGCTGCAGAGGGGACTGGGCGGGGCAGGGGGAGCGGTGGGGGAGTGGAGTGCGCTTCCCAAGTCCAAATCCAGAAATACCCGGGACGGTGCCAGCCAGCGCCCGCCGCTCCTCTGGGGCCCATGGGCCCCAAAGGAAAAAACCGGTAACTCGTGAGGTGCCCTTGCCCAGGCTTTGGGGGACAAAAAGCCCAAGGGAGGGCAGGGGGTAGAGGGACTAGATGCCCCCCCCAAATTCACATCCATCCGGAGCCTCAGAATGTGACCTTATCCGCAAAGAAAATGCAAACGCAAGTAAAGATCCAGGCAAGACCGCACTGGGTGAGGGGGGCCCTAGATCCTGCGACTGGGGTCCTGACAAGAGACACACGGGGAAGCAGAGGTCAGAGTGAGGTGGCCACAAGCCGAGGGACAACGGGAGCCACGAGAGGCTGGGGGACACGTCAAGGACAGGAGGTCTCAGAAGGAGCGTGGCCCTGCCGTGACCTTGATGCTGGACTCCCAGCCTCCAGGAACAGCGAGAGAACCAACGTCTACTGTTGTGTCCGTTTTGTTCCCAGGAAACGAGTGCGGGACCTGTCTGGGGTCCCCGGGGGGCTCCCAATGCCAGGGGGACAGGAGACCAGCAGCAACAACCCCAGCACAGGACCCAGTGGAGGTCCCTGGCACTCCGCTTCTGGGAGAACACCTCCCATCTGAGACCACCGACCACCAGGGCAGGACACCTGTGCCCATGCACCCCAGGAGGGTCCCACCTCCTTCTGCAGGAATGCAAAGGTGTGGAGAAGATTGGGGCTGCCCTCGCCTCTCATCCCTCCCTCCAGGCTTCTGTCCACCAAGCTGAGCTCGAAGGGAGGCTGGGCAGCGACTGAGGGCGTCAGAACAGGCTGCCCGGGACACCTGCGTGCGAGGCTAGGGCCAGGAAGGACGCAACTGCCCGGGAGACACGGAGACCGAGGCGGGAAGCCGCTGCAGACACGGAGCATCCCCAGCGTGCCGGGCATGGGGACGGGAGCCCACGCCTGGGCCACGGGCCAGTCCGCACTTTTCAGACGCAGCCTCACCAGCTGAGCAGCCAGCTCCCCTAACCACAGAAGCCAGGAGAGACACACAGACGCTTCACTCAAGCACGTACAAGCCACGACTGCACCCTCCAGTTCCCGTGAAAATGCCCACCTTCGGTGCTCCGACCCTAAAATGCCAGCCACGTGAGCCCACTGCTGAAGGGCGCCGAAGGCAACACATGGGGGCCAGGCTCCTCCCGGCCACCCCAGAGCCTGCCCACCAGGTTATGCAAACCCCACCACCGGTCCATGCTCAGAATGTGCCCGGCCGGCACTCCAGAAACGACACAGAGCCAGGGCCTCTGCTCCACACACAAGCTGCGTCTACTCTGGGGACACCCCCGGGGCCCTGCCAAGCCCTGAGGCTGCCTAAGACAGAAGACAGAGGAGCAAGAGAGGCTCTCTGGGAGTCCTCTCAGAACGGAACCAGGGTGATTCATGGGAAGCTGGAGGGCAGAGCAGAGCCCCCAAAGAGGGTGGGGGACAGAGGGACCCAGGGCACAGCTGAGGGAGAGCTGGCTGGGCGGGGAGGGGATAGGAGGATAGACCCACAGCCATCGGGCAGGGCAGGCGGACAGCACCCACCCAAGGGGGCTCAGAGAGGAGACCCTGGAGACCCCGCCCGCCCTTCTGAGAACAGATCCCTGTCTTTGAGAGAGTCCCTGAAAGGTAAGTGCCTCCAGGGGGCACAGCCCCGGGCACACAGTTGGCATTCAGTGAAGCTTTGAGGTAGGTGCACCACGTGTGTGTTGAGGGCTGGGTGGACGGTGGCCTCGGTGTCCTGAGCGGCCTTGCCAGGCAGGCAGGTGTCATTCCGGCAGGCTGACCCCGTGACGTGGCCGCGGAGGCAGGTGCTGGGTGAGCAGGCAGGCAGGGACGCTGGTTTCTGGAAACCTGCTCTCGGCCGGCAGCTCTGTCTCCATGCTCACTCAGTCCAGACCCTGGGGACAGGCAGGCTCGGATGGCACCACGCCCCTGAGCCGCTCGGACACCTGGCTGGGGGCGCTGAGCCCACCCTGAGGACTGCACCTTCCAGCAGCTCCCGGGCAGGTCGGATACGCAGGGAGCCCTGGTCAACGTCAGCCTCTCGGGCCCGCTCAGCAGCCCTGTGGGCCACAAGGACACCAGATGGGCAGTCTGGGAAGAGCCACGTGGGGGGACGCAGGGGCAGGAGGCAGCCGTCAGCCAGCAGGGCCCCTCCAGTCGGGGCCCCCCCTCCCCAGCTCACACCCCCTGCCCACGTGACCACTGTTCTGGCCCCCCTGCTGCCCGCACAGGAACACTCAGACTCCACCCCAGGGGACAGAAATCCTGCTCTTCGCTAAGACGCACAGGCCCACATCCGCCAAGCCGTCTCCCAGGGCGCCCCCCTCGGGAGGGGCTGGCACGCTGACCACAGCCCCAAGCTCTCCCTGGCCCCTGGAGCCACACTGCCTGGTGATCTGCAACCTGCCACTGGTGGGGGGGGGGGGAAGGGGGGAAAGATCTGTGAGCGGGGGCCCGGCAGGTGCAGTGATGCTCAGCCACCACTTCGGGCACCACTTGTGCCGTCAGCCCGGGTGGGTATCTGGACACAGCGGGCAGTTCAAGGCCGAAGGATCTGAAGCCTCCCCCTTCAGCTCTCTGGGCAAGGGAAGCCTGTTTAAGGGTGGGGGGCGTTTGGCCACATGCCCTCCAGCTGGGGCCCCTTCACAGAGACATAACCAGGACACAAGCAGGATCAAATTACCTAAACCCGCCTGCCCCACTCCTGAGGTGACCACGTGGGGGCAGAGCAGAGCCGTCCTCAGCCCGCTCCAACCACCGGGAGCTTCGGACTCCGTGACCGTGGCCCTGGCCATGGCTGTGCCCTGAGAGCCACAGCTCAGTGGTCTTTAAGGAGAGTGTGGTCAGCCCTCCAGAGGTCCACATCCTAATCCCTGGAGCCTGGCCCAGCAAAAGCGACTTTGCAAGTGGGCTTAAGTTGAGGACAGCGAGGTGACCAATGATCCTGGAGTATCCAGGGGGGTCCTGTGTCATGACGTGGCCCTTAAAGGAAGGGGCAAGAGGGTCAGAGAGAAAGAGATGGGAAGACACCCGGCCCCTGGCTGTGTCGACGGAGGCGGGGCTACCGTCAAGGCTGGGAGGACAAGGAAGCAGGTTCTCCTTGGAGCCTCAGAAGGAACCGGGCCTGTCAATTCCTGGACTTTAGCTCATTTCAGACTTCTGACCTCTGGAACCGTAAGGTAATAGACCCGTACGGTTTTAAGCCACTCAGATTGGGGTGATTTGTTGCAGCAGCCGCAGGAGTTAAACATGGGGCACATGTAAAGATTCCCTCTATGGTCTTTTCTGGAACTGTGGGGTGGGGAGGCTCAGACCACCCATGCTGGAAATCCAGGTTTCCAAATGTCCACTCAGGCCAGCCCGGCCTCCTGACTCCCACAGTAAGATCCCCGGTGCTCCCCAGGGGCTGGCTGTGCTCCCCTGGGCCCCATCCTGCAGGCCTGCCCTCTCGGGCCAAGTGGCCTACACGTAGTGATTCCCGCCGTGGAATCAGTGCCCTGAAGCACCCCAAGCAGCAGGGCCCCAACTGAGCATTGACACAAAAGGCCTTGGAACCACCAAGGGAACATCACTCTCCAGGTGGCACAGAAGGGGGCCTGGGTCCTCCCCCAGGCCGAAAGAGAGCACAAAGGCACCGCACCTCCCATGCTGACCCAGTGGAGACAGGGGACGAAAGGTGCCTCTGGGTGCAGACCCCCTGCCCTCTGCAGCCCGAGGCCCAGCTGACACTCGTCTGGGGCAGCTCACACCTGCGTGGGAGGAGCCGGGAGCCCAGGAGCGGGCAGGTCCAGAGCCGGGCTACGGGAAGGAATAGCCGGGCCTGGGGCCTCCAGCATCGCCCACAGGTGCCGTGCTGCCCTCAGCTGACACGTGTGGCTGGAGACATGAGCAGCCTGGTGACACATCACCGGGCTGAGACGGGGCTGGCTCCCCGGCGGTGCCTGGGGACGCCCATCACGACGCGGCCGGGAGCCCATCAAGTCACAGCAGCTCCCAAGCCCGGAGCTCAGGCCAGGGCCAAACAAGCTGCCCCTGCAGAAACCACCCAGAGAAGCCCCTTCTGAAGCCCTGCTCCCTCCAGATGCTGCCGGGAAGCTCGGCTCCGATGGTTACCAAGTTCAGAGTCCTGCTTTCCTCCCAAACACGCCAGAGGGTCCTCAGGCCCGCAGGTGGCGTCCTGTCAACCACAGGCCGGGATCCTTTCCTCTCTGCAAGTCCAGGCAGGCCTGGGGTAGGGGGTGGGGGGTTCCCCGAAGCCCAGCCCCACACAGCCCCAGGCCTCGGGATGCTACACAACCTCACGGCACTTAGTGCCACGCTGCTTCAGTGACAGCACCGGCCTGGCCTCGACTGAGCCAGAGTGGGAGGGAGGGCTGCCTACCCCGTGGGGACGCAGCCAGGGACCCGGCTGGCCGAGTGACAAAGCCAGGGAAGGTGAGAGACGGCCACCATCAGGGGCCTGCAGCTCAGTGCTTGATGTGTCCCCTGGCACAGAGGGCCGCAGAGACTGCCCCAGGGACAGCTGGGCAGGGCCAGCATCTCCAAGAAGACGCGTGCCCTGCCCAGAGCCACACGCAGGGCCGGGAAGGCCTGGAGGGGAGCGCCCCCGCCCCTGCCGTGATCCGCTTGATG